TCCATCACCAAGTTGTACATCCATGGTGAAGAGATCCACTAAGGATGGTTAGAAACATGTGTTTACACATCTCCACCCACCACTAATCCCAATTAATAGACCCGTTAATGTAGAATTTTTCTTTCAAAACTCTTTCCTATTTAAACCTGTTTTACACAACCGTTACAACAGAAGAAAATGGAAATGGGGTGGCCATTTCAAAAACCAACTCTGATTGATGAAGAAATAGTAATGTTGCAGTAGAAGATGGAAATGAGAGTTATTCTAACATTTTCAGAGTCTTTTTCTGTGTGTGAGAAAGTCCTTCATTATCAACAACTCTGTGTGTGTGTGTGTTGGCAGTATTGCTTTCACTTGTAGCTGCAAGCAGATTTCACCTCAGGCAAGTCCTTTAATTCCTCACTCCACCTATTTTTGACAGATTTGATCTAGTCCAAATGAAAGATACTCTATGAAGTTCCTTGCTAACCTCTTCCCCTTCAGTAAGGCAAGACAAATTAATTCCCAGAATAACTCCCTAATACTTGTTTCCACCCATCCACTAAAAGACTTTTCTAGAATCTAGAAAAAACAATTGAAGAGGAAAAGACTTCAGTGAAAGGAAGTAAGAACAGTCAGTATGATGAGAAGGGGGATAAATCAAATATTTGTAGGAAAATGCTGTTTTCCCAGGACTGAACTTTGCTGGAATGACACAGGCCCGTGTTCTAGAGATGGTCAGGTAGGTGTGTGGGGGAAAAAGAGATCATGAATGAATGCAGACTCAGATCTGGTCAAGAGTTTTTTGTTTATTAAGTAAAAGACTTCTCCAAAAGATAGGAGGTTTTGGAAACGACATTTACTTTGAAATATTTCAACCATTCTTGTGTTATTTTCTTTTTTTTTTAAAGCAATTTTTTTTTAACATTTATTTATTTATACAAGCACTGGGTACAGTCAGAAGCGCAGGAGGGTGAGAGAATTCACCAGAGCCAGAGCGGGGAGCAGAACAGGCAGACTGAAGAAGTACACTGCTGAGGGGAGCAGCGGGCGGCAGGAGAGGTCTGCGCGCCATGTGGGACCCTCGCCCGGCAGCCGGGGATCGAACCAGCGCTGCAGAGGCTGCAGGTAGCTTTGCTACCCAGCGCTCAACCGCTGCGCCACTGGGGAGGCCCTCTTGTGTTATTTTCAATTAATTCTCAAAGAAGAGGAATCACCTGGGCAGATCTATTTTTGTGCCTTCTATTGAATCCTATCATAGTCATTAAAATCTCAAATTATTAGCTGGGAATCTTTTTGAAAACACACTCTTGTGTGCCAACCATGTCAGCAGCCCATGAAGCACTATCAGGGGGTAAACAGGGAACCTGTCCACAAAACCCTCCTTGTTCATGGTTCCATTGCTTTCGGGGCTCTGTTTATAGTATTTCACTGTATCAATGCCCTTCTATTTTCCGCCACTATTTTTTCTCTTCCTTCTCCTCCTTTGCTCTCCTTTCCCCTTCCTCACACTCATCTTACACCTGCTGGTGGCCCTAATATGTGCTGGGAGTCACAGCAATGACCTAGAGTTTCTCAAGCTTCTTGCTATCGACATTTGCGACTTGCTAACTCTTTGATGCTAACTCTGTGCATTATAAGATGCTCAGCAACATCCTTAGCCTCTACCCAACAGATTCCAGCAGGACCATCTCCCTTAGCCATGATACCCCAAAATGTTCAAATTGCCAAATGTCCCATATTCAGGCAAAATCTCCCCCCAATCAAGTCCACTGAAATGATTGCCTCTGCCTCTATTCCTTGGAGAGTTTGTGACTTGGGGTAAAGAAGGGATATAATGAAGTCCAGAGAGGGAGCAGAGAGGAATTGTTCTATAGCAGGTGGCCTCAAGATGCATCTTGATTGAGTGGGTAAGCAGAGTCCAATTTCTTTATGAAATCTAATTTATCTGTCAAGCTCAAGAATATCCTGACACTGCAAGCTCGATGCATTTTGCTTGTCTAACTTATCAGTTACAGCTTACATGAGATGCCATTAGGATAGAGGGGCCTTTGTATTTTGGCCTCAGAGATGGTGTAGGCAGGAGTTTTCAGCAGGCTATAAATACCCAACTCATTCCTGTATTATCCATAATGCCTTGTTAGGTTAACTCAAGGTGTCACCTCTGAGTATGAGTGCTTTGTTGGCAATTCACTATGAATCTGGGAAAAGAAACCAAAGCTACAAAACACTTAAGTGGATAGGAAGCTGCCATCTGGCTCACTAATAAGGTGTACTGGGCTTCTGAGACCTTTCTAAATGCTGGTTTTCTCTTGAGTTTTTTCCTACCCTTAGAAAATAGCTAAAATACCAACTGCAAATTACTGAGTTGACAAGAAATTCTCAAGTTTTCCAACTTCCTGGCATGTGTTCATTGTCTCATGGTTAATTCTCCCAGCTTATGGAGAGGCACCTCACACACAGGACATGCATGGAAGGCACCTGCTGCCCATGTTTCCTATAGGTCTTTCACCTATGGCACCCCTAACTCCCACTGAGACAGCCTGCAGGTTCCATTTGCTGTTTCTGCATTAGGAAACAGAAGACCTAGTATTACATTTCCCGCCAGTTGGTTTGGTCACTTTCTACTTAAAACTAATGGCGCCTCTATCCCCTCTATCTCATAAGCACCACCAGGAAAATACAGAAATCAACAGCCATGTTCTTAGCCTTGCAACTGCATTTGACACATTTCATTACCTCTTGGTTGAAGTAGGTTTCACTCTTGGCTTTCATCAAACCACCTTCCTGCTTTCCAGTTTTCCTGTCTTTGTCTCAGTTTCCACAATGGTTCTTGGCTGACTGTTATTTTGCACTAGTGTTGCACCTGATCAATCAGTAGACACAGATATGACAGTGGGTCCCCTGATTTATCTAAACTTTTCTGGGGTGTTCTTCTCTAGCCTCATGGTTTTAAGTGGCATCCATTTGCTAATAATTCTTAAATTTCTATCTCCAGGCGTTAACTTTTCGGTGAGCATTAAAATTCATACATCTGACTTCCCACTCACCAAAACTACTTGGATCTAATATCAAAATCAGCGCAGGCAAAATAGCACCGGTCAGCATTCCTCCCAATCCATCCTCCTCCCGCCTACCTGGGACCCCAGCAAGGTGAGCCGGGTCTCTTCCCCAGCTACTCAGTCAGTTCTTTACTCTGCTCAGGAAGCTTCTCCCCACTCGGCCAAGTCAGTTCTGACATGGTCTCTCCGTTAGACTTCCTGAGCACATCCCGAGCTCCGTAGGTCCTCTAGTCCAGGCCTCCCTTATCACCCAAAGGCCCTTGCTCTTTGAGACTCTGTGAGCTGGGTTATGGGTGAAGCCAATCCTAACACTCATCTTTATCACTGCATCCTGTAAGGCCAGTGCTCAGATACTTAGGAGGGGACACTTAGAATGCAGCAGTTTCAATACTAGAGTTGGATGGGACTGCAAGTAAACAACACAGTAAGATTTTTGATATAGTCAGAAAAGACCAGTAATCCTTCTGCATGTTTTTATTCTCAAATAATAAATGAAATAAATATCTTTATCATATGCTGCTGTCCCAGCCATCTCCTGATCTCTGTAGAGCTGTTCAAACCTGGTATGAAGAACACACAGCACAAAAAAAATCCACATATAGAAACTCACACCAATGTGATGACCTCAAATGAGCCAGGATGCCAAGACATTTACTTAGTTGAGACAACTACTTAGAAGGAATGTTTGAAATGCTTTGATAAAATTGCAAAGACTTAAAATGTCCATGCGTAACAATAATAAAGTCTTTTTAAGAAAGACTCTCAATAGCTACCAGTGCCATTTCTTAAAGAACAGAGATCAGTTCTAGTTTTTAAAGGCACTACACTTTAAAAAAAAGTAAAATTACACCCAATTATACCCAGATAATGACTTATCTGGTGTAAGCGATGTGAAGAATGCTGTGCTCTATCTAAAAAATAAAGTGAAATTTGCCTTTTAATGGTTGATTAAAAAACAACACAGTCTCAGAACTGATCTTCTCAATGTAAACACACCCTAAGTGGATTCTCATCCTTTCTATTGTAATAACATAGAAGAAAGGATTCTGGAATAGTGGGACATTTTGTCTGAAAAAAAACCCACACAAACAAAGAATACAAGGTCATTTCTGTCATTAAGCCCCAGGATAATTAGGCTGCTTTGGCTGAAGGTCCAGGGTATCTCTTAGTAGGGGGAGAAAGCTACATAGAAAGTGACAAGGGATAGGGTGTTCTTTTATTTGTTGGTTTATTGTTTATAGGAAAACATGGTAAACTGGTAGTTTCAGGTGTAGCAACATAGATACCAAAACCTAAACTGGGTGCTAAAGCTTGATTTATAAATTTAGACTTTGTTAAATCCTTCCGCCACAGACCATGAGAAAGGCAGTCTGGATTGACCAGATCTATTCAAAAGGCTAGGATGCACCAGCCAGAGTACATTGTGGAAGGCTTGTCCCATAGCTGTGGGAAGTAGGGAGTTCATTCCTGATGCTGAAGGAGCAACAGAAAGCCCTGACCACTGATGGTGGCCTCTTTGGACCAAGAAGATATCTCATCCAGAAGTGAAATTGACAGAAAAGAGAATAGAGCAGAGACTGGAAGAAGAATAGGGTATGGAGCATGAACAAGTGGTACAGAACTCACCCTTGACCTCAAGTTTTTGCTTGTGTGACCCAACAGACTATCTCTGTTGATCTAGCTTGAGTTGAGTTTTCAAATATTTGTCACAGAGAGGATTTCATTGTATAATCTTTTCTAAATGATCTGGGAAAATAGGCACAGCCCAAACTTTTGCTAGACTAGCATTGTCCAAAAACAGAAAAATGTAAGCAAATCAAAATGCCACGTTCCCTGGGTTCTCAGTGTGAAGTCCATCCCTAGGGAAGGTGCGGACTCCACTCCAAATGAGACAGTAATTGAAACATGGACTCCTTTTGTCCATAAGGTGAGAAACAAGCAGAGTCAATGATGTGTTACCTGGTAATGAACTCTCTGGGAGCCAGAAGAAACTGACTGCAGGTCCTAATGAGAAAATGGGGGGAAAATCCATATCTTAAGATTAGTTTGAACAAATTGCCTCCACAATTCTATCAACTGAATTCCCAATTTAATGTTATTAGACTCATCTGGAAAGTATCTACTTCACCCACATTCCTCAAGGTCAAACAAAGACATAATGCCAAAAATAATAAAAGCACACCAAGATGGCCCAAGAGAAGAAAGGTCACCTGGCTCTTGAAACACAAATCCCAAATAAGATGAGCAGTGAGTGATATATTATAATTTTAAGGACAAAGAAGACCAAAAGTAAGATACAGGCAATTTTTTTATATATACATGGAGGTCATTTTTAATTTGCCTCTGAACTTCCGCTTGTTAAAAAAAAAAAAAAAAAAAGCTTCTGAAGTGCCTTTCGGCACTTAACATATTTATTGATCTTAGACTAAATGCATACTGTCTTGGTAATTGTGTTTATTATGATAAGATGCTTAGCAAACACAAGTTTCATAGACTGCAAGGGGAAAAATCACTGGCCACCACTGCATTATCACAAAGTGAAAATTATCAGGGGTGAAATTAATGAGGTTGTACTGGCAGGCTGTGAGAGCCTGGCTACCTTTATAAAGTTTTCTAACTAACTTGTCCTCACTGTCATATCCCCCAGGCTTCTTCGGTAATGAGGATACAGATTCTATTTACAGATGTCATCACCTTTGTCCTTCTACCTGCTTCCCAGAGGGCTTTATTGACTGAATCTCTGTGCCTAATGAGTTTTAAAACTTTTTCTGTTTATTGGAGTTTGCTATTTCATTTTTAAAAAGAATCCTACTTTCAGTTGAATATTGGTGTGATGGAAACCAACTTATTAGCATGCCTAACAAAGTCAATTCATCACTCATGTTACTTTGTACTGCAAAATCTTAAATTACCCAAGTATTATATTTAAAAATAAGGTTTGGCACCAGTTATAATTCACTTTTTTTTATTGTAGGTTAGTTGAATGAGTTCTACAACAAAATGCTATTTTTTTTTTTTTTGGAAAAATGAGATACTGTATGTATGTTCTACGAGTCCTGATTTGGACCTGAGCCATATGCTAAAAAGTTCACGAATGTTAAAGTTAAACTAATTCCTGGTAAAAACAGCTGAACACAGCCATAGTATAAAATGTGTCAATTCATCTCTCACTTTGTAGTCAAAATTTGGCATCTATCTCAAGGTACTTTTTTTTTTTTTTTGGTGGGACCCTTGCCAGTGGCCGGGTATTGAACTGGCGCTGCAGAGGCTGTGGGCAGCCTCGCAACCCAGCACTCAACCGCTGCGCCACCAGGGGAGGCCCTATCTCAAGGTACTTTTAATTTACAACTCCATCTTTTTTTTTAACAATTTATTTATTTTTATACAAGAACTGGGGTACAGGCCAGAGATGGGGGGGGGGGTGAGAGGCTTCACCAGAGACAGAGTGGGGAGCAGAACAGGCAGACTGACGGAACACACTGCTGAGGGGAGCAGCGGGTGAGACGGGAGAGGTCTGTCCCGCCATGTGGGTTTCTCCCTGGCCAGCTGGGAATCAAACTCATGCTGCAGTGGCTGCAGATTGCTTCATAGGTTGCATCTTAACCAGTGAGGCCCTACAACTCCATCTTGATGCTTAATGGTGTTGAAGAGGAAAACTGATAATTTTTTCACAGGACTTTATGCCTCTTACCTGAAAGTATTTCCACCAAGAGAAGTAGACTCTAAAGTGGCTGCAACTTGAAGGAATTTTATTTTTTTTAATTATTTTATTGTATTTTATATATTTTTACATCATTTTTCATTTTTGTACAATGTATGCATTTTCACCTCGATTACAGTCCCTGTGAAGTTCACACCACCCAGTCACCTGTGATCTATCACCATGGCCCCGCCCATGCTATGATCCTACTCCCGTCTCCGACTCCCCCTTCAGGTGTCTCTGGTTCATAATTGTCTGCTGATTTTGATTTTTACTTTATTATAGTTCCTTGTTTTTCCCTGATCCCTTATTTGGATCCTCTACATTCCTCCTATAAGTGAGACCATCCAGTATTTTTCTTTTTTCTTTTTGGCTTATTTCACTGACCATGAACCATGAAGGGATTTTAAACACTAGGGACCTTCTTTGTGATATTCCTTTAAGTGTAATGTGGTGTCTGGAAGACAGTGGCTCATCTTGGGGTATCTATCAAAATTGCCCAACAGCTTTAGTAATACAAATGTCTAGGCCAATCCAAGGAAACTGATGTTCATGGGCATCTTTCATGAGGACACAATGATAACGAAGTAGCTACTTATGCATTTTGCCATGTGTAGCCTGGATAATGATGACTCCCTCAAGTTTTGTTGCAACAACCCAGGACACTGAAATACGTAGCGTGTGTGGGTCTCTTGGCCTTCCTGGGGCTGTTTAAATTGATGGGAATGTCAGACCAGGACCTCTTTCTTTGTCTTTCTCTAGGGTACCATCAGTTGAGAAAGTTATCATAGAGCGATTGATTACTCCTTTGTTCTGGCATACTTCCTATGAAACACAGAAAGTTTTTCTTTCCTATAAAAGTGACATTTAAAACCAAAATCCAGCTAGATGCAAAACATTAAATAACTCCAAATCTCTGTTTTCCTTCATAATTTATCATTGCCTTTTGAGATTCTTAAAAAAAAAAAATGCAGGTTTGATAATCTGGGGGGAAAAAACAAAAACCAACAACCCTGGAAGTTCTAAGCTGTCTTTGTGGAACATTCTAGAACAACATCCTGTTTTCCCATTTCAACCCATAAGGAAGGAAAACATCAGCATGGGTGTGGGGAGAAGACAGGGCATATGCTTAAAAGACAAGGCTGCCACACTTCCAATTCCTTCCCGAATGCATAATTTCAGAAGCAAATCTATATGGCAGGTAAATGTTTTTTAAAAAATGGAAAATGAAGCAGAACAAACAGCTAAGAGAACTCACCTCCTGCAGGCGATCTATGTACATACGGCAAGTCTCCAAATCACAGTCTCCACGCACAACGAGAATGCCCAGCGGGATGGCTAGGGGGCGAAGGACAGAGAAAAGTCAAAAGTGACACATCTGACTTGGCTGTATCGCTGTAAATGTGTTTCCTTATGGTTCAAAACAATCTCATAAATATTGTTTGCATAGATACTTCAATTAAGAAAAATAGCAGCTTCTCCCTACACCGCCTTTATGTTTTCGAGCTGTTTCTGTAGTTGTCACAGGTGCTCCTTGCACGATCCATGCTGTCCCTGCCTCCTGGCCTTCATTTCATTATGTCTTATGTGAAATGAAGTGTGATGTCATGGAAAGAGCATACTGGCAGGATGGGGCAGCTGCTCACAGCCAGCTGACTATTTGCACTTGTGTTTGCAAGAACAGGTGTACCAGGGAGAGAGGGCCTCCCTGGTGGCACAAGGGGTTAAACACAGCACTATGAAGCAATCTGCAGCCACTGCAGCATGAGTTCCATCCCTGGCCAGCCAGGGAGCTACCCACATGGCGAGCAGACCTCTCCTGTCTCGCCCGCTACTCCCCTTAGCAGTGTATTTCAGTCAGTCTGCCTGTTCTGTTTCCCACTCTGTCTCTGGTGAATCCTCTCACCCTCCCATGCATCTGGCCTGTACCCCGGTTCTTGTATAAATAAATAAATCTTTTAAAAAAAAGAAAGAAAAAGTAGAAATAAATGTAACATAGACTATATTAAATATATGAAGTTAGCTATTGGAGAACTATAGGAGAGAGAAACTAATTCTTGCCAAAAGGGTAGATTTTAGGTTATGGGGCCTCATTGGCCCTTTTACTTGAGGGAGAAAGGATGGTTAGAGAAAAAGAAAAAGTTTGCTTCTCAATGTTAAGTCCTAGATTGGTTTCCCTGGGAGATCAGTACCACCACCCCATTCCTTTAGCTTCCCAAAGTCATCTATATAAGGCTTGAAAGCAGCACTCGTCTCGTGGCCTGTGAATGAGGACAGACCCTGTCACATTGGGATAAGATTTGTTCCCCTTCACAACCCCAGTGCCTGGTAGAGAAATGGTCACTACTCACTGTAAGTGTGTAAAGGGTGGAAAGACAACAGGACGCAGGAAGTCGAGCGCAAGTCTGCCTGAGTGTGAAAGAGGAAAACTGACAGAAATGCTAAAGTGAACTTCCCGCGCAGTGAAAGCAGTAAGGGTTAGAAGCAGAGGTGGACAGTGTGCACCGAATTGGAAATCAGTCACCTTTGCCGATTCTTCCAGAAGCTGAACACGGAAGCCAATGAGCAAAAGAGCAAGGAACCCTAGTCACCTGAGCGCTATCAGCATCACTGTTCCTGATCTTCATGACTCATCCTATTTTGCCCTGGATATGTGTATGTGTTTGTGTGTATACACAAACATGCAAGTATAAGATAGATGTATGCATGTATGTATAAATACGTTTGCATATATGTAATATGTGTGCAATGAGCGCATACACATATACCTGTATGTATAGGCACACATCTATACCTATAGATACATACACATGTTCATATATAAATAAAAATATATGTGAACAGAACATACATGTGTAAAGGAAGTATTTCAGAATTAAAAATAAGTCATACAAGTTCTCTGCAGTAACTGATCTTTAATGATGCTGATGTCAAAGTTCATGCATATCTTCAAAAGATGTTTTCTCAAAAGAAGTATAACTCAGTATCAAATAGTGACAAGGGGGGTAGAGAAGTAATCAATGACTGCCACGAGCAAGCCCTCAAATGACACCAATTGTAGCAAATCACTTGTAGCAGCAACACCAGGCAGAGGAGCCTGAGGAACCCCAACTGCATTTATCTGTGCATTTACATAACAAGTAGCAGGCAGATCTGCCTTATTTGAGCATCAGAAGGCTCTAGAACAGCCCTGCCCAACAGACTTTCTGCATGGTTCACTGCAGCAGCCGCACACCCCATGTCACGGTCAGTACCTGACATGTGGCCAGTGTAACCGAGTTGCTGAAGCTTTTAACTTTTCCGGTTTCACATTTAAATAGCCAGATGTAGCTAATGAGCATTAGTCCCTGAACAACCAAGAACGTGAATAACACAGGGCCAGATGCTGTATATGTCAAAACCACCTCCAAGTTGGGCACAGTTCCAGCAAACGAGACTGCTTCTCTCTTTGTCCACTCAGCGGGCCCAGATGTGCTGCTTCCTCAATTCCAGCAAGAGCACAGATGATTGCGGGAAAGTTTATTTCCTTTACTGTCCTATCAGTGCCCTTGATTCCTCTGCCCATCCTTCCATTAAAACTTACTCTCAGCAACTTCTTGGTACCTGGGTCCAAATCACTAACAGTTGGATTGCTCCTCCAAGAGCAGTGAATTTGAGCATGTTTGCAATGTGGACTACCTGATGTTGGGGCTGAATGTCTACATGCACCCACATTCATTTGCTGGAGCCCTGACCGCCAAAGTGAAGATGTTTGTGGATGCCTCAGGGTTGGATGAGGTTAGAGGAGTGCAGCTGTGGTGAGGGGATCAGGACCCTCACAGGAGCCCGTGAGCCTGGTGGCTCACTCTCTCTCCCCACAGCAGGACAGGACGTGATACAAAGGGACCCTCTGTGAGTCAGGATTGCAACTCCCATCAGACACCAAACCAGCCAGCTCCCGAATCTCCATTTTCCAGCCTCCAGAACTGTGAGGAAATCTCTTTCTGTTGTTTTAGCCCCTAGACTATGGTATTTTGTTATGGCAGCTTAAGGCAGAAAGTGATAAAGCTGTGACAAATTTAAATACAGAAACAGGGAAGTCAGTCTGGCATTAGCTGTGTTCGTCGGGCCTGAGGAAATCACACTACCAATTACTCCTTCCCAGTCAAAACACAAGTCCTGCCCTGGCTCCTCCTCAGACTCCCGGGGGGCCTCTGCTAACCTCCTTTTCCTAGTTCTGTTTGTATAAATGCCTCATAACCCAGAATGTGATTACATTAACTGGTTGAGAAATCCATTATGTATTTCACATGTGCATGCTCTACATTTTATGTTTGAAATAAAACGCCAACAGGTCACACTAATTAATTTTGTCTTCAATACTTGAAGTTAGGACTACTTGAACTCATTCTGCAAATTTATGCCAAACAGCACATAAATTAACACTATTTATATGCAGCAAATTCAAAATTTTCCAGCAACCAATCTGTAAGTGTACTCTTTTATCTATAAGACACTTCTAAGGCACACATCTATTAGAAGAAAACATAGGAAATAGGATGTCTAAAATATGTATTTCACCACCAAAGCTAAACAGAGGCAAGGAATAGACCAAACTCAGGTATCCTAAATAGGGGGATTGAATTGCCCTAAAATTAAAAAAAAACAAAGGTTTAAGAATTATTAAGCGATGGGCCTCTCTGGTGGCGCAGGGGTTAAGACACAACCTATGAAGCAATCAATAGCCACTGCAGCACGAGTTTGATTCCTGGCCAGCCAGGGAGCTACCCACATGGCAGGACAGACCTCTCCTGTCTAGCCCGCTGCTCCCCTCAGCAGTGTAATTTGCTCCGTCTGCCTGTTCTGTTCCCCGCTCTGTCTCTGGTGAATCCTCTCACCCCCTGCATCTCTGGCCTGTACCCCAATTCTTGTATAAAAATAAATAAATCTTTTAAAAAAATTAAAAAATAAAAGTTATTAAGTGAAAAATGCCAGTAGTTTTAAGAAAATGTGAAAAAAATATTTTCCAAAGTTGGAGGTATGCTATAAAAGACAATCGAATGATTTACTTAAGGAAGCAAAACAGTACTGAAGACCAATTATAATTATTTATTAATTACTTGTTTGGGGACCAACGCTGAGATGAGTGCCCATCAGTCCCAGGGGGTGCCCCCCCCACACACACACCCCGTGATGGGGTGAGCCTGAGTTGTGTTGAGGGTAGTAACATACAGTATGTTGGCAATCTGGGGTCAATGAAGATGCAAACTGTGCGAGTTCCCAGGGTCAAAAGTGCTGGGCCGGGAGTTCCGAGGGCTCTCCCCAGGCTCTGAGCTGGACTCTGGGGAAGTGGCCATGGAAGGAGGGGGAGGGGGCTGAAGAAATCATGTCTTATAACAGCGAGTCAGCCTCTGCTCTAGAAAAGCCAGGTCGGCCACCACAAGCCTTTCATGGGAAGCTCTGGGAGCCAGGATCCAATTCAGACTGAATTTAAAAACACACAATCTTGAGTTCTGTTACAGAAGCTTCTACTTGATACATGTGATGTAATGTGATAAATTTAGGTGGAATAAATCTGGGTAGACAGAAAAATGATAGTAATGATTATATGATATGATAGCGGAAAAGAAGCAAGAAGAGGGGCAACAAGAAGAGGGAGATTTTATTTTTTTATATATTTTTCACATCATTCTTCATTTTTTTTTTTACAATGTATGCTTTCTCATCTCAGTTATAGTCCCAGTGAAATTCCCACCAGCAATTCACCCATGTACCAATGTAAAAAATATATAAAAAATAAAATTATTAAAATTAAAAAAGAGGAAGAGAAAGGAACAGGAGATGAAGATAATTTACCTATGTAAAGAGTGTGCTAGTGCTATTGTGTTTGCAAGTCTTCGCCACAACCCTAAGAGATGGAAATCACTCTTCCTGTCCTTAAAATGAGGAAACTGAGTCTCAGAAAGTTTATGTTTACTGTCACCGCTCAGAAAGTTTATGTTTATGTTTACTGTCACCACCACTAAATGGAACACTCAGATTTCATCCAGATGTTTCTTACTCAAGAGCCCCTTTTCTGTACTCTCCCTACTTTCCCATGAGAGTTGGCTTGCACAGGGAGTCCTGACTTCCTACCTTTCACCACTGGACTCAGAGAGGTGAGTCCTAAAAGCAGTGACTGAGGACCGAGGTGTGAGGACGGATTCGGAAGTATGGTATTTAGAGCTACACAAGAATGGGGGAGGGCTGTCATCCCGGGAAGCAGCACTAACACGAACACCTCTGGCCTGGACAAGATGCAAAACAGCGGGACTCGGAAGCTATGAGCAGAGTCAGACATTTTCATGGACACGCTTGGC